CTTTGTTCAATTGCATTTATGATAAAACAACTTCCTTCCGAATTTGAATGGATAAATCGTTTTTTCAATACATGATTTTCGTCAAACTCATAATGACCTACTTCTTTTGTCTCTAAAGAACAAATACCATAACCTTGATTAAGGGAAGTTGAACAATCTTATCTTCGAAAGTCATAAAATATGCATTGGATTTTGAAAAGACACTTCAAATTAAACGTTTTGTTATTTTTAATATATAAGATTACCATCTAATTTTATAAACACTTAAATGGTTGTCTATCTTCCGTAGCGTTTACATCGTCATTATACACTAGATTTATCGATTGTTTGGAAAACCATTGCATTTTCTCTTCTTTTTTTTTGGAAATAATTGCATTTTCTCTTAGACGTCGTCTTTTTCATTGTGCATTTTTTTTTTGGTTCAATGGCTGATTCATCTGCTGCAAAGTGAAGGAAGATTCAGATTTATGCTCGGGATTCCCTGCAATCTCTCCCCGCTGATGTGTTACTGCTGATCTTTGGAAAGGTGGCTTTTGATTCGGTGGAGGATCTTGCCAACATTAAACTGACGTGCAAAGAATTTGGACAACTTGCGGAAGATGATTATGTTTATAAACATGTTTCGCTGGATAAATTTGCATTGGGTCCATTGGAATGGATTACAAAAAAAAAAACATTTCTTCATGAGGTCAGCATCGAGGATCGTTTTGATGGTACTGCGGAGCACAGGCCGAATGCACACGAATTTTATTTTCAAATTCCAAAAAGCTTCAACGATGAGTGTCGAGCATTGTTCTTAAAACGTTGTAGGGAGAGTGGCAACACCGAAGTTTTGTACCGTGATGGGGTGGTGATGTATTTTAGACAAACATCCACTTCTGATACGCAGGAATTGGCTCTTCGCTCCATCAAAGAAGCAGCACAAAAAGGACACGAATGTGCTATGTATGTCTATTGCATGATATTGATGCTTGGGGTTGACGAAAATTGGAGAGCTGAGGGGTTTGAAATTTTCAATTCGCTATTGGATGCTGATCGCTTGCTGCGATGTAGGGAACGAGTGAAGAGCTTTATCCAAGGATTATGGATGCGTAAGGAGATTGTTAATAATCCAATACCTTTCTGCAGTTTGGAACTAGGTGATTCGGAGAAGAAGGAAGGTGCACCATTGGTGTGGAAGATGAATGAATTTGAATTTAAAATTTGGGACACGTGCAAATTTTGCATGGCAGATTTTGAATTGTTTTTATTTATTTTGACGTGTAATTGTTAAATGACGTTTGTTGTGCTGTTAAGTTTTGAATATTGCATTCTGTCTTCAATGGAAACTTTATGTTTTCGATTTTGCAAAAATATTATGCAGTATGATGTTATTGCGCAACACATTTGATTCTGATTATTTGTTACAAACGTGTTTTTGTCTTTTGATTAACTAATGTATGTATGTTTATTAGTTTATATTAACTTATATATTAATATTTTGTAAAATATTAGAATTCAATTATATTGTCAACGAATCTTATTTTGTTATTTGATCAATATACTTCGGAAACCGCAACTATTTAAGTTTTTTTTATTGAAATTAATAATATCCAACAGTAGTGTTCTCCTGTTAACTGCCAAACTTTTTCATCAGTTTTTTTTTTTTTTGATTGCTGATTTTATAAATCATTATTCTCACTGCTGCCCTTCTTCCGAAATTTGGACTAATGATGAAGTTAATGACCAATAACAGTGGGTCAGTTTTAAGAAAACGTGTGTCTGAGGCACAAAGCGATTGCACTTCCTACTGTTACTCATCATGGTTTCAAATCAAATATTTTAAATCAACTCATGACTTAAAATCATGGTTTTGTTTGAGAAAACGTGTGTATAAAACGTAAAACGATTGCACTTCTTCTGTTGGTCATGATTTCATCCTTTACAGACATAATTTTTTCTATGGGGTTTAAATTTGTTCGTCATTATAATTGAGAATGACATGGCTATGCAGAACACGTTCATATGTAACACAATGGTTTCTCTTATTTTTATTTTTTGCTTTTTTAATGAACTTTGTTGTGAGGCCTTTTCGTATTCCTTGGTGCTTTGATTATTGTATGGATTTTGGGCATTTGTCTTATCACTGCTGCACTTTTCCCCAAATTCTTCATTGGAAATATGAGACACGTCCTTAGTGATCCTCGAGTCTGCTTCCATAATGATCTTCATGTCCACTACCAAAGTACTTATTTTCTGAGTGTGAATGCAGAAAGACAATGCAAAAATTGAAGAAAGAACGCAGATGTAAATGATTGAACTTCTTTGTTTTTGAATATTAGCTTTGTGAAGTTAAAAGTTATAATGATTGAATATGCAGCAACGTGTCTTTTGTAAATTATAAACGAAAGAGTTCTAGATGTGATTAATGATTAAAGAACAAAAGCTGCGGATGTGATTAATAATTAAGGAACAAACAAAACAACAATCTTCCATAGGTCCTCGAAAGTAATGGGATAAATGAGCACAGTTAAGTAGATTGAAGAGTGGTGTTAATTCAATTAACATCAAAACACAAGTCATTGCAGTGACATTTTAATAGACACTGGAATTTAAACGTTTTGTTCTTTACCGTATCTTAGAAATGAAAATACAGATTTTATACAAGTTGAATGGAACATTAAATGTCAACGAATAGTATGTGTATTTTCAGTTAATGCGTGTTCAATCGTAAAACTAAACAGACGCGTTGGATTTTTCAGCGTATGCCTTCCCAATCGTCGTATGGGTAGTGTGCTTTTTGATTGTCAGTTTAAACTTAGTATATAATAGAGTTTTCAGTCCCTAAACCCTACAACGCTTCCTTTTACGTTATTCTTTTCGAAGATTAAGATTTGTTGGAGTTTTATAATTTCGTCCAGTAGAGACAATGGTCGAATCATCATCTGCAAAGCGTGCAAAAATTCAAAAAGGAAGTCATCCGTCTCTCACAACACTTCCCTCTTATTTGGTATTGGAGATTTTGGGCAGGGTAGCGTCCCATTCAATCAAAGACATATCCAACGTCAAGTTCACTGGCAAGGAATTACTCCATCTTGCATAGCATGAGTCTGTGTATGAAAAATCCTCCTTGTAGAAGTTTGCATGTCTGCATGTGAACTCGATTACCAGGGAAATGCCGTTTTCTCATCGAGTGGACAATAGATGTGAATTCAGACATGAAGATCAATACATGGGAACACTTTATAACTTTGTAATGTCACCAGAAGAAATCTATAGCATGTACCGACAAGCATTATTCTTGAGACGTTGCAGGAAAGCAGGAAACCCAGAACTTTTGTACCGTGAGGGAATGGTAATACATTTCCAACAAAATTGCTGTTCTTTGAGGGAAAATATTGCTCTTGAAAAGTTAAAAAAATGATGCCCTGTTGCATCACATTGATGCCAAATACATGTATTGCATGCTGTTGATGGTTAGTGAAGATGAGGAGAAACAAAATCATGGATTTGAGATGTTTTGTTCATTGAAAACGTCCATCGATTTAGGGGATTGTAAGAAAAGGGTGAGATGCTTTATGCGAGGTATGTGGCTGCGAAGGAAAGTGGTTACGATCCATGACTTTTCCTTTTGCAATTCCACCATATGCAAACTATCGAATGTTATTAACAACTTGGACGATCGCGAGATTACATGTGAGTATTGTCATGTTGATGCTGAACTGAAAGAATTTTGTAATATTTAGGGAGTTGGTTTACAGAATGATTATTGTAATATGGTTATGGCTTTCATCTTTACGTTTTGTTTTTTGTAGTGGGTATCTGTTTTTTTATGGTTCGAGTTTAATTAAGCAGTGTTTTGTCATGAATGGTTGTAGTGTTTGTGTATTTTTTATGGTCATGACAAGAGCTACCGTTGTTTTTTTGTGTTGCTAATTCCAAAGCTATAATCAACATCACTGCAGATTCTACTTATGCTAATTATTTCCCTCAAATATAAAATTAAAGCATTTCTTACAACATATATCTAAATATATTTTTGATCATATATAAATACATTTTTGAACTATTGAGAGACAAATGTTAAATTAAATAGCCATGTAGTACAATTGCAGTTTAATTTTAAATCAAATTTTTGCAGTTTGCAAGATACTAGAGCGAAAACCGGAGAGAGGCATGTAGGTATTAAAAGCAAACAAAAAAGCATGAAAGAGAACGAAATCGTAGTGCCCTTTTCACTGGTAATGAATACCCTGTTAATCATGATTAACTTGATGTCGATTGGGCTTCTTGAGATAGTGAATGAAACACATTGGTTGTCGACAAGGTTCATCAATCGGGTGAACAAATGGAAGCAGTTGAAAATAGTAGTTCGTTGATGAAATGGCAGTAGCTGATTATTCACCGTCAATCTATATTTCTTTGAAAATGCATTTTATTGTAACGATAAATATGAACTCAAAGAGAAGCCTTTCTTCACACGATAGTCATGCGTATGATATATTAAACTTCATTGAGTTCATTAGTCCCTACATATTCTGCAGTGCAGTTCTCTATTTCTAACAACGTGTTAGTAAAAACGTACGTTGATGACTATAAAGCCTCCACTGTTAGAATAAATCTATGGCTGATATCAACACTCTTCTGAAGGAATTGTTACTTTGCATCTTCGTAAAGGTAACATCTCATTCTATTCAAGACGTGTGCAATATCAAAATGAGTTGCAATGCTTTCCTCCGTGTTGCAGAGGAAGATTTGGTTTATAGACATGCTTCTCTGGATAAATTTGCATTGTGGTCGATTGAATGGATTTCAGACCAGAAACCGTATTGGCATGTCGTGGAAGATGATTCTCTAGAGGAAGACCGATCAACCTTCTACGATTTTGAATGTTGTCCAGTTAGACGGTTTAATAAGGAGAGGCAATTTATGTTCTTGAAACGATGTAGAAGAGCGGAAACCCAATAATTTTGTACCGCGAAGGTATGATACAATATTTCCGAAAATATTCAAGTTCATCCATGAATAATAAGGCTATGCAGAAACTGAAAATTGCTGCGAGCAACGGTCACAATGAAGCCAAGTATGTATATTGCATCCTTTTGATGAATTCAACCGATAAGAAACGCCGTGATCGTGGATTTGATATGTTTTGTTCTTTAAAAGGGACAACCGAATTAAGTATATGCAGAAACCGAGTCAAGAGTTTCATCCAGTGTATGTGGATGCGTAAGGAAAGGATACCAATTCAAGAGTTTTCATGGTGCCATTCTAAGAAACACGCTATCGAGAGGCATTCATATGCACCGTCAGCAATAATTATAGGAAATAAGCATGGGAGTTGGAATAGATATGCACGTTATGATGCAGATGCTGAAATTAGAGAGTTTTCAACAATGACTAATGGAAGTGCTTAGATTTATTCAAGAGTTTTCAACAATGACTATTGTGATACATGTTAACGACTGATATTTGTTTTGAAGGAGATTGCATTGCGAGTATAATGATGATGGACTCGAATGTGAAAATTGCAGGGCACATTTTGAACTGAAGTTATTTTGTAGCATGACTGGTGTTTAATGTCCTTTTATCAAATTCATAACATATAAGTGGATCGAGTCATATCGGCATGGGAGTTCTTTGTTATTTTTTTAATTTCCAATTGTTCTTCTTTATCATGTATTGGACTTTGGGGTTTATATTAAGATGCAGCATTTATTAAGATGTGTTGTGGTGATTATTTGAATTCCATTTTCTTGACTTCTCCAATTGGGGTGTTGGTTCCGGGAAATTAGAGCGCAGAGATTACTTGCAAATGCATTTACTTCTTATCATTGGTGTATATGTTATTTGTCGTTTCAGATTCTGATCATTTGCATTAGAAAAGCATTCACTGTCAACAGATTTTTCGAATACCAAGTGTCAGCAGTTAATAACTGAGTGGACATGGAATATCAATCGACGCTGGAAAAACACTCATCTGCTTCCAAACGACCGCTGATAGAGTCACAACGTTTAATTGGGTTGTTGGCCTACTGCACAATTCTCTAATTGAAACGACGGCTGTTCAACAATTTAAACCTGGCATTTTCGTGTGTTTATATTGTATTTTCCTCTTTCTTTTTTTGATTAATCATTTCAAATTCTTAATCATTTCAAATGGGTGAGACTTTTTCTGCAAAACGGGGGATGATCAGAAAACAACGATGTCACTCCCTTGAATTTCTACCGAATGATTTATTGCTGCGCATATTTGGAAACGTTTCATCTGAATCCATTGAGGATATCTCCAACGTTAAACTAACATGCAAATCGTTTCTTCGTCTTGCAGAACATGACAGTGTGTACAAGCATGCATCATTGGACAAGTTCAAGTTGGAACCTCTGGAGTGGATGACCGGACGAAGGTCGTCACGTTACCATGTCCGGGTTCATGATGATGACGATAACGTATCATCGAACGAGGTGAAGGTTATTGAGTGGGATCTGTCGCCAGAGGAAAAGTTTGCCATCGAACGAAGGACGTATTTCTTCAACCGTTGCAAAGAGAGTGGGAACCCTGCATTTATATATCGTGAAGGATTGCTCCAGTATTTTTGACAAACCAAAGATTCTTATACTATGGACTTAGGTTTCATCCTTGAAAACTGCTGCTATGAATGGTCACGACGATGCCAAGTACATGTATGGCATGCTTCTGATGTGCTCAGACAACGAAGCCCACAGAAACCAAGGTGTTTCTATATTTCGTTTGCTGGATACATCCGAGAGAGTCAAACAGTGTAGAAAGCGTGTCAAGACTTTTATTCGTTCTCTATGGATGCGTCGAACAGTTGTCCCACAACATCAATCATCCTTCTGTCATTCTAACCTGTGTATTAATCTTGAACCAACAATTAAACGAGACCCTTGGATATTGCATGACGAGTATGATGATGATGGACCCCAATGTGAAAATTGCAAGGCAGATTTTGAACTGAAATTATTTTGTAGCATGACTGGTGTTTAATGTCCTTTTATCAAAATGATAGCATATTGGTGGATCCAGTCATATGGGCATGAAGTTCTTTTTTTTAAGATGTTTAATGTGTCAGTTCTATGTTAAGATGCATTATTTATTTAGAAGTTGATGTGATTATTACACTTTCCATTTATTGACTTCTTCATACTATCGATACATGAACATAGCAGATATAGATAAGTTAATATATAAAATACAAATATTATATTTTAATGGGCAAAATAGACAACAAACAGATTCGATCACATTTCAAGTATTACAAAAAATTACAAAAAATATAGTCCACAAGCAATTGTATTTGAAAGAGAAAATTTAGATTTTGCCAATTGGTTAGAATTTGGAATGTTTGTTTTGTATCTGAAGAGTTTGTGTGAGGCATAACTGGGTTGTTGAAATAACCAATTATAAGATAAACAGATAAATCAATTGGTGTGCCTTTATTATCTATTCAAAGTCTTCATTAAATATTTGTTGCTTTTCTCGAGAAAGGCTCATTGGGTTCTTCAATGACATGGATCGTCGTGTGGGATAATAATACCAGAATCTTTTCGTCAAGCTATATATTACTTTCTCATGTTCCTCATGTGTCATGTTTTTCTTTGTCAACACTATCCTTCTGTATTTTGGTTAATGATATAATTTTGAAACCTTAAATCCTTCCGATGAAACAAATGGCTAGTATCCAAACTCTTCCAGAAGATCTGCTGTTGTTGATATTAGGAAAAGTCGCGTCCATTTCCATTGAAGACGCCGGCAGCATGAAAAAGAGTTGCAAGTATTTTCAGTTAATTGCAGAGCATGACTTTGTATACAAATGTTCATCGTTGGAGAAGTTTGCACTTCCATCAATCGAATGGATTAGCGAAGAAAAACCATTCTGGCATGTTTTAGATAATGATTGCGATGATTATGATCAAAATGGATGCGTTAAGAGACGGTGGGACTATGAATTGATGGGAGATGTGCAATTTTGCAGGCTGAAGGAGTATAACAAGGAGCGCCAGATTATCTTCTTGAAAAGGTGTAGGGATAGTGCCAACTCAATCATTTTGTACCGGGAAGGGATGATACAATATTTCAGAAAAAGTTCAAATTCATTTTTGGAAAATATCGTTATTGAAAAACTTAAATCTTCTGCGAACAACGGTCACAACGAGGCCAAGTATGTGTATTGAATGCTTTTGATGAATGGATTGGAGCATGAACACCGAAACCCGGGATTTGATATTTTTTGTTCTTTAAAAAAGATGATTGATTTAAATGGATGCAGAGACCGCGTGAGATATTTCATTAAAAGTATGTGGTGCGTAAGTAGGTGATACCAAATCCGGACTTTTCTTGGGATCATCCTGACATATGCAGCCGAAAAAAATGTGTAGCAGGACGATCAGCAACAGAGAAGGATGATGTTAAAGGAAATTGCTGTCGTGTTATATGTGATCGTTGTCATGCAGAAGAGGAACTGGAGGAATTCTATAAAATGACTATATTTTGAGTTCATTGTTTTTTGTCAAGCGTTTAAAGTACAACCATGTCTTTAGGGTTAATATCTTTAGGGTGTATGCTTTATTGAATGAAGTTATGGTGTAATTTTAATTTGCTGTTCAGAATATTGAAATGCAATCTTTACATTTTGGATTTCAACTATTTTAATCTGTTATATATTTTATATTTTATATTTTATGTATGAAGTTTTTCCTTTGTCAATTTATGACTAAATTGGATTTGAAGCATGTATCATGTTATAGTTAAATTGGTCATTGGTATTTTCGATAAAAGTGAACCATAATTGATATTGTCAGAAAGCATTTCTTGCCTTTTCGTATTCCTCATAGTGTTTGAATGATGAGAGGCTAATTGTAAACACCATTTTTTTGTTATAATAATAATTATTATTATTATTATTATTATTATCTCGTTTGTTCTTCAAGTAAAATTTATTGAACCCTATGTTTTTTTGGTACGTGATGATACTTAAGCATTTGTACCCTTGTTCTCTAAATTTTGTATTCATGCTACCATTACCATTCTTCTAAGTTTTCTTTTCTTCTTATTTTATTTTATTTTATTTTTTTCCTATTCTGTGTGTGTTTTTAAAAAAAAATACAAAACCAAAGTAATCTAATCAATGGGTATTTTATGTATCTGTTTTCCACTATAGATTTCAAGCATATTCACAGGAAAATATAGAGAAATATTATATGACATTTGTTGGTCGGTAAAGTGCCGAATAATAGTGGGGCAACAGTGGTGAAAATTGTCCAATTCAACACTGATAAAGCAGTAAATCTCATCCGTAAAAATTGCTAAATTCAGCTTATGGACACCATCCTTATCTTATCCAGAAAAAGTAATAAACACAAGAAAGGAAATTTCAGAAAGTTGAAAAATACATGTTCAGTAAAGATGGCTACAAGTTTCCTCTGTCGACACCTCTGTTGAAGAAGACAAACACCTTACCTGCATATACAACAAGAGAATCAGAGTTGTCTGTACGCCGCGAGCAAAATAATCAAAGTTGATTTGGGTTTTAGCCTAAATAAGCCATGACAAGAAAGTAGGAGAAAAAGAAAAAGGCTTCAACACAAATTTTACAAGCATGGCACAGGAAATACAAAGAGGGAGGGTGCTGTTAGCAACAACGACAAAAAAAGAAAAGGAGAAAGAGGCGATCAGAAGAGAACAAAAATCGTTCTTTATATAAAAGGGATTCTGGGTGTTCAAAAAAAGGGAGGAGAAAAAGGAAGAAAAAAAGGAGAGAGCATGCAAAGGAAAAGATGAAATCGGAGTAAGAGTTTGTAGTCCATGGTAGTGAAAGGTATTGAAAGAAAAACACCATCAGAAGGAGAAAGGGAGCTTCCATAAGTTAGAAAACAAAAAATTTAGAGAAGACATCACAGGAGAAACACCAAAGAGAAAAAGGGGTGGGAAGACACCAGAAACCCACACTGCCACAAGACGTCAACTGCACCAAAGTTGTCGTCTCCCTTGTGCCATCGATCTGTGTCGCCGGAAAGCTACGCCGCTGCGAGCTCCATCGGTCACCATTTACCGGTCACTGCGTGATAGCTCCCATTTCTTGCTGCACTATCATCTACACAAAACCTCATCACTATTTTGTTGTACCCATCTATTGGCATACCTCTTGTGAGGTATCAGACCTTGATTGAAGAGAAAGAGAAACTCACACACGGTGTGAATGAAAGCAATAAAAGAGAAAGGAAAGAGTGCTTCTTGAATACAGATTGATTGATTGAGATACAAGATGATGCTGCTATTTATAGCAGAAGGCATCAGTTGAGAAATAAAGGAAATAACAGAATAACTACTATAACAGCATAAACTACTTTAGCTATACATATCTATTATCCCCCCTCAAACTCAGTGGCAATGGATAGACTCTGAGTTTGCTTCTAAAAGTCAGAAAAGTGGCAGCGGAAATGGGCTTTGTAAAGAGGTCTGCAACCTGTTCAGTTCCAGGAATATGTTGAACAAAGACTTGTTTTTGTATAACACGATCCCTGACAAAATAGAGATCAAGTTCAAAGTGTTTAGTCCGATTGTGGAGAATAGGATTCTCAGCGAGCATTACAGCACTGGCCTTGTCACAAAAAACCGTTGGTAGAGCAGTACATGAGATGCGAAGTTCATAGAGTAGAGATTGCAGCCAAGTGATTTCTGCAAGTGTAGAGGCAAGACTTCGAAATTCTGCTTCAGTGCTAGACCTGGAGACAACATGTTGTTTCTTGCTGGACCAAGATATAAGATTTGAACCAAGATAGACACAGAAACCACTTGTTGACTTGCGATCATCAATATCGGACCCCCAATCTGAATCACAGAAGGCCATAAGCCGAAGGTCCTTAGATTTGTGGAATACAAGACCATGAGTTCTGGTTCCAGCCAAGTATCTTAAGATACGCTTAACAGCTTTCCAATGTATATCAAGAGGTGTATGCATGAACTGACTAACTTTATTAACAGCATAAGAGAGATCAGAGCGTGTAATGGTAGCATATTGCAATCCTCCAACAATAGATCGATAGAGGGTTGGATCAGCAAAGATATTGTCACCTTCCAAAGATAGTTTTTGACCCGTGAGCATTGGAGTAGGCATAGATTTGGCAGAAGTCATACTTGCCTTCTCCAAAAGATCAGTAATGTACTTAGTTTGGCTAAGATGAATAGTGGAAGGAGAAGTGTATGCAGCTTCTAAGCCAAGAAAATAATGAAGTTGTCCTAGATCTTTAAGGGAAAAAATGTTGTTGAGTTGAGTGATAAGGGAGGAAATTTCTGAACTATTAGTGCCAGTAATCAAGATGTCATCGACATATACCAGGATATAAATGGTAGAGGTGGAGGTAAACCGTGTGAACAAAGATGCATCAGACTTGGTGCTATGAAAGCCAAACTGCTGTAAAGTAGTGTTGAGAGTATTGAACCAAGCACGAGGAGCTTGCTTAAGTCCATAAAGGGCTTTGTTTAATTTGCACACTAGTTGTGGATTATTGCTGGGAAAACCTTCGGGTTGAGTCATAAAAACGTCTTCAGTTAAAGTGCCACACAGAAAGGCATTGTTGAAGTCAAATTGTCGAATGATCCAGCCATTTGTAAGGGCAATGGAGAGAATGAGTCTGACAGTAGATGGCTTGATGACAGGGCTGAATACTTCACTAAAATCAAAACCTTCTCTTTGTTGAAAACCTTTGGCAACAAGTCGTGCTTTATACTTTTGGATTGTGCCATTTGGTTGTCTTTTGATGCAAAAAATCCATTTGCAGCCAATAGGCTTAATATTTGGTGGAGGAGGGACAAGAGTCCAAGTGTTATTTTTGAGGAGAGCCTGAAATTCTTCAGCCATTGCTTGTTTCCAATGAGGACATGTGAGAGCTTGAGACACCTTTTGTGGTTCTGAATTTAAAAAATCAGATGGTGCTTCATGTAATGTAGTGGCATATGTTTTTGGCTTATGGATGCCAGACTTGCTTCTGGTTTGCATAGGATGAGAATTGGGTGGCGATGAATTCTGAGCAGTAATGAGAGAACCTGCAGACTGATCTTTATCAGTAATAGTGGTGTTAGCATTGGTAGATGAAGACTGGTGTGGAGATCCTGAAGAAGAACTAGGCAAAGCATTAGTAGTATCAGTTGATAGAATAAGAGGGAGACAAGAACTAGATGTATTTGGGACAGTAGGTAATTTGAGAGATTTAGCATGCTTGGAAATGCAAGGTATCGTAGGAGTGTAAGAAGGAAGAAAAGAAGGAGATGTATCAGATAAAGAAGTGTTGGAGAAAAGATCATTATAAGGGAAATTAGTTTCATCAAAGATAACATCTCGAGATATAAAAATTTTGCCCGAGGGAGAAAGGCATTTGTAGCCTTTTTGATTTGTAGAATATCCCAAAAACAGACACTTGTGAGATCTAAAGTCAAGTTTGTGTTTATTAAAAGGCCTATGAGAGATGCCATTGGCTTGTAGAAATTGAGTAAAAGCATGAGAAAGATATTCTTTACCATTGTCAGTTTGGAGGGATTTGACTTTCAAGTTAGTAAGAGTTTCAATCATAGATTTGTATTGATGGAAAGCATGAAAGACCTGAGATTTATTATGCAGTAGATAAATGCAGCTATATCTAGTATAGGCATCCACAAATAACACATAGTACCTGCTTCCAGAAGTTCCAGAAATAGGTGCTGGTCCCCATACATCCGAAAAAATTAAATCTAAAGGTGCAGCATAATGAGTGGTGGATGGAAAATGAGGTAATTGATGAATTTTACCTAAGCAACAAGCTTCACAAACAGAAGCAGGCAGAATTGTTTTATTATAAGAAGTAGGAAGATTACATTGTTTCAAAACAGTATTAACAACCTGATGGCTAGCATGGCCTAATCTCTTGTGCCAAATATCAAAAGGAACACATTTAGAATACAATGCAGTAGGATTGTTAGGAGCAGAGAATTGTTTATTAACTAAGATATTCGAAAATTCATAGAGGCCATCTTTAAGCTTGCCTTTGAGGACAATATCCTTAGTGACCTGAGATTTGACAAGGCAATAGTCAGGAAAGAATTCAAAATAAACCTTGTTGTCTCTAGCAAATTGAGACACACTGATCAAATTCTTGGTTATGTGAGGCACATGTAAAAGATTTTCAAGTTTAAAAGTAAAAGGAGATGCAGGTGAGGTTAATAAAAAATGTCCAACATGTTGAATAGGCATACCTGCACCATTACCAATATGAACCTGTTCGGAGCGATTATACTCAGAAGCAGAAGAGAGATTACCAATATCATTTGTGAGATGATGGATTGTGCCAGAATCAGGATACCAAGAACTGTCTGTGAGTGAGGCAGGACCAGCTATATAAGCTTTGGGATTATGAAAGGAGGAAGGTGGAGGTGGAGGAGGATGTTGATTCTGGGAATTCAGATTGTTCTGGGAATTCAGGTTGTTCTGGGAATTCAAAGGTGAAGGTTGAAAATTTGAATCAAAACGATAGTAGCATTTGAGGGCTGGATGTCCTGCTCGTCCACAAATTTGACATTGTAAACGATTTTGATTCCAAGATTGTGTTCTACCACCTCGAAATCCGCGGCCTCCTCTGCCTCTTCTTCCTCCAAAGGATCTTCCTTCAAAATTGTTGAATCTGTTGTCTTGTTGGACATAACTTTGTGTGACATTGGCTTGGATGGGAGTTGAATCACTTTTCTTGAATCTTTCTAACATTTCTTCTTGGGCAAGCAAAAAAGCTTCTAGTTCAATGACAGAAAAGGGAGGGAATCTGGACATTGCAGATGTTATAAGAGGTGCATATTCTTCACTCAACCCATCAAGAATAGCTTCTGAGTATTCAGCTTCTGTGAGAGGTGAACCTACAGCTCCCAATGAGTCAACAATTTTCTTGATTTGAAGTAGATATTCTGGTGCAGGTCCTTTCTTCTTGATGGATTTCAGTTGGTTTTTCAGCTGTTTGACCTTTGCTTGTGTATGTGAGGCAAAATAGAACTGAAGTCTATTCCAGATTTCGTGGGCAAATTTGCATCCAACCATTCTATTCTTGAATGATATATTCATGGAAGAGAGTAACCAAGATACCAGGAGATTATCTTGTTGATGCCAGCTTGCATAGTCGTTTGATTCTTTAGCATTTTCTTGATCTTCTTGAGTTGAAAATTGAGCTGGAATCTTATCTTTGTTGAGATGATCTTGTAGGTTGTGCCCATGGATTGATGCAAGAGCTAGTTGTTCCCATGGAAGAAAGCTTTCTTCATCAAGTTTGTCAGTAATGGGATTTGAGAAAGTTTTCATGATCAGCTTTGCTGCTTTTGCTTTTTCAGTGCTTGTAGTAGATGTTGGAGACGATTGAGGAGACTCCATGGATCGAAATATGCTCTGATACCATGTGAGGTATCAGACCTTGATTGAAGAGAAAGAGAAACTCACACACGGTGTGAATGAAAGCAATAAAAGAGAAAGGAAAAAGTGCTTCTTGAATACATATTGATTGATTGAGATACAAGATGATGCTGCTATTTATAGCAGAAGGCATCAGTTGAGAAATAAAGGAAATAACAGAATAACTACTGTAACAGAATAAACTACTTTAGCTATACATATCTATTACCTCTATCTCCAGTATTCAAAAGAAGAGGAGAATTTATTTGGTTAGACGTTGGGAAGGAGGTATCTTTATGATTTATTTGTTTTCTTTATCGTTTATTTTCTTACATTTTTTATCACCTCCTAGCTGTTCATTACTTGTCACGTCATGCAGGGGTATCGTGTTACTAACTGAGTTCACATGGCTTTAATGATATTTACTTTTATTTTATTCCCTTTTCTCTATCATATTAGACTTTTTTTCATCATTTATCTTACGTTGGCTTTAGTGATATTTATGTTTATTTTATTCTTTTTCTCTTTCAGATTAGACTTTTATCATCAATATTCATCTTACGTTTATTTTTTAGCGTTTTCTTTTATCCTCAGCTAGACGGTTTCTTTCTTTGCTTAAGTAAATAAATATAAATAAAAATCAGAAGTTACATTATTTGAACACAAAGATAATAAGAAAACTAATTTTCTTTTTCTTATTAGGATAATCACTACGATTGATATATATATATATATATATATATATATATATATATATATATATATATATATGATTTCTTATCAGGATATTTTTTTTATTAACGTATGCTTTCATAAAATACAAATGGTGAAAAGCAATTTCATTTTAACAAGGTTTCTATAAAAATTGGTTTGCTGTTTAATTTGTACAAGCCTACTGATTTAAAATAATAGTCACCGAAATTCTTCTTTTGATCATTAGACTAATGCTATTTATTTGTTCAAATCAATGTCAACCTCAGTTTTAAATACCGCCACTGTTGTTATTATTTGGTATAAAGCTTGGGAGGTAAAAAAAAAAATTAATTTATTTTAATAAAAGGATTATAACTGAAGGTTCAAAATTTAATAGAATTTATCATAAACTTTATAACAATACAAGTCATAATAATGAAATCATTTTAGTATGTAAAGGGGTAATTTAGCCGTGACGGCTTCTCAATCCCTTATGTTTCATTCCAGATCATTTTAACTGTGACGGCTTGATGATCTGAAACTCATTAAATTTATCATATTTTCATATCAATTTTAAAACATATAATAATATTAAAATTACACGTAAGGGTGATTTAGCCGTGACGGCTTGTTTAATCCTATGTGTTTGGTTAGGGATCATTTTAACCGTGACGGCTTGATGATTCGTAATTCATTAAAATTATCATATATTTTTTATATATTAAGGTAACCTTAAAATCATTTAAAGGGGATAATTTAGCCGCGACGGCTTGTCGATCCCATACTCTTTTGAATCATTTTAGCCGTGACGGTTTGGTGATTCAAAATATATTATAAAATTTATACTAATATAAAAAAATTATTGAAATCGATACAAATTATCAAAGCCTAAACTTTCCAATGATTTTCCTTAAAATTATTTTTAAAAATTAAATTCAATCAATACACAAGCATTTTTTAAAGAACGGCGTAGCTTTGAATTCCTCACTGCACCTGAGGATACGTCGGAGCGGAACTTTTTTTCGTCAAGCTAAAATAAAATTTTAATAATTTAGTCTTCTCATTTTCTAAATAATTATGTTTATTTATTTTAAGGGATTAAGCAAATATTTTTAAAAAAAGCTATTAATAATTTACACAATTAAATTAAGGTAACCGTTTTTAAACGGATGTGTCAGGGGTGCAGTGGGATTAAGTTTCCACCCTTCCTTGAGCACAATTAGACTCCCGAACCTTTGATCTATAATTTTAAAGACCAGTTTGCAATAAAATGGTTTTCCAATTTTTCCAAGTAAATAAAATTGGTGGCGACTTCATTGTTTTTATTTTCTAAATTTTGGGTCGTTACACTAATAATCAAATGACTTTTCATATTCTCAGCAACAAAAGTTACTCATAATTGTCTTTGGGCTAAGACCATTCATATGTGGTAGTGTCCATTTGATTATTAGTGTGTGACTTATCGCATTACTGAACAAAAACAAAACAATCACACAACGTTTTAATACTAAATGATTGTCATTTAATAAGCACCTTCAACTTTAATGAATTATATATAATTATATATAATTAAAACAAAAACATAAAACCTTTTCTGGTGCTTCATAGCTGCACACGCCATAGTTGCGTGTTGATAGAAAAAAGACAAACCCAAGGTAACGCGCATAGTTGTGTTATGTAACCTGTTTTGAGTTGCGCAGCATCATGAAGAAAGATCCATCACCAACGCCCAATGCTACGCAAAAGAGAAGAGACCGTTGCATGTGTTTTCCATCTCCAGGTAGACCGAAAATTACATCCACTAATCATTTCCAATTGTGCTGTTTGCATGTAGCTGACTTGCGTATCTAATGGCTGTAGCACAACCTTCTCCATCTTCTGCTTCCCCTATAGCGGGTAATTGTTTTGATTTTTTGTAAATTTCCATGTTGCAGCTGTGATCATTTGTCAGTATAGAGATTTAACATATTTGTTCTTACTTTAATGGTTTTACCCATGCAGCCTATCTCAATTAACCAATGTAGAGAACGAAGAAAACTGCAATCGACGGTCACTTCATGACATTTCAAATGGTGCGCTAATTTGTATATTTGAGATGCTTATAAAGTGGTAGTATTTAAGCATTTTTTTCACGTTATGATTTGTTTTATGAGCAGAAAATCCCTCGCAAAATGTACGTAACAGAGCCTCATCAAATGATGTGTTATCTTATTCCTCCCCTGCATGCTGTCTTTCATCTTTTCCTCTCAAAGGTACGACACACTTGGCATCCTCAGTACATATCATATAGTGATGTTCGTGTCTAATTTATGTCGTGAATATTGTGTAGAAAATGTACCTCTGTACTCAGCGTCCACTGTTGGCGGGTGAGTTTAATTCATTATTTTATCAGTTTATAAATTCAAATTCTTATCGTAACATTGTTGTTGTTTGTATGTGGACATTATCGTTATTCACGTGTAACTACGCAGCCTTACACAATGAACGACTTTACAAAATGAGTCTGGTAGCAATACACAATCACTTCGTGATATATCTAATGGTACGCAACTATGTTCTTTAGCAGTACGTACAGAGAATTTTTTTTGTAATATTACATTTTTTCGGTCACAACGTCTTGTGTATTTTTTTTATAGATAGTAGAAATGCCAGAACAAGGCGCAAAAATATAATCGACCAGAAGAAAAAGTCTAAGCAGTTGATAGATGCTCTCAATATCAGTAAAATGCCTGATTTAACAGGTAATAATTTTTGGATGAATCTACAATCTTAATTCTAACGTTAAATAACGTTAAATTAATGGATATTTTTTTAATTATATTTCCTGATTGTATTTATAATATCAAATTTATGTCATCAATATGGTGTAGAAAATGTATTTCCTTGATCAGCCTCCACTGTTAGCGAGTGAGTTGAATTTGTTATTTTATCTGTTTATAGATTCAAATTCTTATCGTGAAATTGTTGCTATTTGTATGTGGAGATTGAGATTATTCATGTGTAACTATGCAGCATTACCCAATTAACCACTTCACAAAATGAGTATGGTAGCAATACACAATCACTTGGTGATATATCTAACGGTACATAACTATGTTCTTGAATAGTATGTACAAGGAAAAAGAAAGGACTTCATTACTTTTTTTTGTCGTGACGTTTTATGTATTTTTATATTTTTTATAGATAATAGAAATGCCAGAACAAGGCGCAAAAACTTAATCGACCAGAAGAAAAAGTCTAAGCAGTTCATAGATGCTCTCAATATCAGGAAAATGCCCGATTTAACAGGTAATATATTTGGATGAATCAACAATCTTTATTTTAACGTTACAAGTTGTTAAATTTATGGATATTTTTTTTAATTATTTTTCCTAACTGTATAAATAATATATTACCTCTATCGGATTTTGTTATAAAATAGAAATTGATGACGCACCTGATATGACGATGCATTCCACCCTCACTGCGTTATCTAATGAGCACTCAATATCACGGTACACTAGCATTGTTACTCGAATTCATCATATTCCTCTGCTTGATGATAAACGACATATTTTTTGTTTTAAAGGTGGAAATATCGTTCTATAAGAAATACCCCAATTGATGTTGGTGAACTAAGGAACGTCTCATCTAATGATGGTATTCCATTTCTCATTGTTCACCGTTGCTGTTTCGCACAAAAATTGTAAATAAATATGTAATCTGTTTTTTTTTTTCACGATCATCTTCTAGGAACAAATTCCACTGTTAATATGCAGCATGGTACGTATTTTTCTTTTTTTATTAGATTCATGTTATTATAATTTGTTGTTACGTACGTCAACCAAACAACAAAATTTTGACTTTCAGCTTACTTCTTTAATTTTTTTTCTGTTGTTTTGGTTCCAGATACTGATTTCAACGATCATCATTTACCAAACATTGCGTCTGTTAGTGAAGGTAGAGCTATGAATTTAATGATTTGTATTTTTAAATTCCATGACATAATTTTCTGTCTAACATGATTTCTGCATATTTTATGTATGTAGATTACTGGGACGTAGGGGATCCTACTTTTGTTTGCGCTCATTGTGGAGCACACATGTGGTATGAAGAGAGATTAAGAAAAGAACGTAAAGCTAGCACGCCAGCTTTTAGTCTATGTTGCGCTAATGGAAAAGTGAAACTTCCTTTGTTAAAAGTTGCACCCGATACGTTGATTCAATTGCACGATAATTCCAATAATAGGAGTCGCCATTTCTTACGGAATATTCGCGCGTACAACATGATTTTTTCCTTCACCTCCTTCAAAGCTAAAGTAGTTGGATCAGTAAATCAAGGTTCTAGTCCTTATTGTTTTAGAGTTGGGAGACGAGTGCATCATTTAATGGGCAGCCTTCTTCCGCCCGATAGTCAGACTCCAAAATTTGCGCAGCTTTATATTTATGATATTGATCATGAAGTTGACAACAGATTGGGTTCCCTAAGGCATTGTGGTTTCTGTTATTTTTATTATTCCTTTTTGGATTATATTCATGTTGCTATTAAATGTATTTTATAACTCATTATTTATGTATCAAATATGCAGTTCCACCAGGAGTGAAGATATGCTTGATCTCGATATAGTGCAATCATTGAAGGAGATGTTGGATAAATATAATACTGTTGCCCAATCTTTCCGTTATGCAAGGGACCGTTACAAGGAAGATGACTTCAATGGTGTGAAGTTGAGGCTTATTCGAAGACGTGGCAGTGATGGAAGAGTTTATAATCTTCCATCCGCATCTGAAGTTGCTGCTCTGATTGTTGGAGACATAGACAGTGCACTGGGTGATAGAGACATCATTATTGAGACACAAAACCGACTTCTACAGCGCATAGATGTCAAACATCCATTATATCTTGCCTTGCAGTATCCTTTGTTATTTCCTTATGGTGAAGATGGTTATCGTGATGATGTCCAACGTACTTCCATCTCCAGTGGTAGAACAAACCCAAGATCAACGATTAGCAGGAGAGAGTTCTTTTCCTTTCGACTCCAGATGAGATCCGAAGAGTCCGAAGTTCTCACTCAATCGCGACAACTTTTCCAGCAATTTTTGGTTGATGCTTACACTATGATTGAGCATGAACGCCTTAATTTCATCCGCTATAACCAAAATCAACTCAGAGTAGAGATTAACAAAAATATAATACATGCTTTTGATAGAGGGGAAGATAGAGCAGATAGAACTGGTAAGCGCATTATTCTTCCATCTTTTTTCACAGGCGGTCCTACATATATGGCTGAGAATTGTAAAGACGCTTTTGCAATTTGTCGTTGGGCTGGATATCCTCATCTTTTTATTACAATTACCTGCAATCCGAAATGTCCAGAAATAACAAGGATTCTTAAGGCCAAAAAGTTGAGCGCTGAAGATAGGCCTGATATCCTTTGCAGGGTATTCAAGTTCAAATTGGACTAATTGTTACATGATTTAAAAAAGGGACATGTTCTTGGCAAGGTTAATGTGTGTAAGTAAACACTTCACTTAATTTTATTTTGCAAAAAATATATGATAAATTCGGATTGTATTTGGATGTTATATATAATTTATTCTTTTGCTACATATAACTATATTATTTTCTTCTAATTAATTTTGTATGTTTCTTTATATATTGTAGATGTTTGTACAATCAAATTTCAGAAGCGTGGACTGCCTTATGCTTATATCCTAGTATTCCTTCACCCTTCTAACAAGCCTGATACTGGACTTGATATTGATAAATTGATATCGGCTGAGATTCCTAACAAGGAAATCAATCCTTCTCTGTTTGCAGTTGTCACAAGTTACATGATGCATGAGCCCTGTGGTCCTGAGAATTACAAGTCACCGTGCATGAAGGAGGGAAAGTGTTCGAAGAAATTTTCGAAGAAGTTTTGCTCCCGTACGATTATTGACGATGACAGATTCCCTCATTATAGAAGAAGAAATGATGGTAGGGTTGTCAATAAAAATGGGGTTGAGCTTGATAATCGTTATGTTGTGCCATATAGTGCAAAGCTTCTCTTAAAGTATCAAGCTCATATTAATGTTGAATATACGTGTCAGAGTAGTGCCATTAAATATCTTTTTAAATATATTCATAAAGGCAATGATCGAGTCACGGCAGCTATACATCATTCAAACGATGAAATAAAAAAGTTTTAAGATTGCAGGTGCTCGAATTCATCTCCATTATTTTTCTTTTGTTCTCATCTTTTTGGTTAGTGTTTTCGGACCTAGCTGAGTCTTTATTCCTTATCTATGATAGGTACATCTCAGCATGTGAAGCTGTATGGAGAATTTATGGATTTGACGTTCACTACAGATACCCTCATGTTCAGAGATTGCAATTTCACCTGCCTAATGAAAAAACTGTTGTTTTTAGTGATGGTGCTTCGATATCTGATATTAAAAAAAGAGCGGAGTCTCGACAAACATTTTCCAGGCTTGGATGGATGCAAATAAAAAATTTCCAGAAGGTAGGCATCTTACTTATGCTGAGAAAAGGCTCATTTTAGTCCCTAATATTTGAGAAAAATGGCCACGTTTGTCCTTCCGTTAGTTGGCATCTGACGGCCCAATTAACGGAGCACACGTGGACCGTTACTTTGCTGAGTCACCGTTAAGTATGCCAGCGTGGAAGTGATACGATGCCATTTTAAACATTTCTTATGTCTTGTTGGAGTTTTGGAAAGCTGAAGGTCCTATTTGGTCCCTGAAAAATTTATCGAGACCCTATTTGGTCCTTAACACTAAAAAACCACCATTGCAGCAAACCTGCATTCTCTTACCAAAAGAAGCAATTCCTTTTATTCATCTTTTTTCCTATTCACCAAACATCACCAAAAATTTATCATTTGTTCAATGTTTTCTGATCCAATGGCAGAAATCGAAATTCCTTAATATTTTGTTTGTCCCATTTTGCTTCAGATTATGAAGGACCCTGTGACTGTAGTAACAGGCATAACATACGAAAGAGAAAGCATCGAGCAATGGTTGTTGAAGACCAAAGTTTGTGTGTGCCCAGTTACAAAGCAACCATTGCCAAGAAGCTCAGAGTATTTGACACGCAACCACACGTTGCGAAGGTTAATCCAAGCATGGTGTTCAGCAAACGCATCCAACGGTGTTGGTCGAATTCCAACCCCAAAAACCCCTCTTGACAAGATCCATGTTCAGAAACTTGTAAGAGATCTTGATGTTCCTCAATGCTCCCAAACGGTGTTGGAGAAGATGCTTGCCCTGGCTACATAGAGCGAGAGGAACAGAACATGCATGGCTGAAGAAGGAGTAGCAAAAGCTATGGTTATGTTGATCAACAAGAATTTCAAGGAAGGAAAGAGCAATTGCCTAGAAGAAGCTTTGAGAATTGTTCATCTTCTTTGGAACATTCCAGCCATGGTCAACAACATGAAACATCTAGTTGGTAAAAATTTAGACTTCATCAATTCGTTGACTTGAATTTTGCAACTTCACATAGATCGCAACTTCATCAATTCAACCCCATTATGGAGTTTAAACATTGAATTCTTTAGAGAAATCGTGAGAGTGTTGAGAAAGAGATCACTACTCTCCCAACAGGCTATTAAATCTGATTTGCATGTTCTTATAAAAACGTGCCCTTTGGGTAGAAACAGAACAAGGATAGTGGAAGCAGGTGCAATCAAAGAACTCATAGAGATTGAGCTTGAAAAACCGGAGAAGAATCTAACAGAGCTCATATTTAACCTTTTGGCATAACTATGTTCTTGTGCTGATCGAAGAGCAATTTCTGTTGCATGCAGCAGGGATAGCCATGATTTCAAAAAGGATTTTGAGGGTTTCTCCAGCAACAGATGACCGAGCACTTAATATATTTTTAGTGATTGCTAGGCATTCAACATCAAATAAGGTTGTTCTAGAGATGTTGAGGGTTGGAGCAGTGTCAAAGCTTTGCATGGTGATGCAAGCCGATTGTGCTTCATATTTGAAAGAAAAAGCAAGAGATATACTTAGGTTACACTCCAAAGTTTCAAATTTATAGTATACATTTTTTGTGGTTGGTGGCTCTTCTTGTCTGGTTTTATAGTATACATCTATAAATTCCATGAATAATATATATACATTTTTTGTCTTGCTAGCTCTTCTTGTCTGGTTTTATAATATATATAATGAATGCATAATAATGTTCACATTCAAGATCAAGTATGGCCAGTGGATTGCTGCAATGGTGGTTTGAAAGGTTTGTGGTTGTTGGTTTGTTGCAATGGTGGTGTGAATGGTTTGCTGCAATTGTGGTTTTTTAGTGTTAAGGACCAAATAGGGCCTCGATAAATTTGTCAGGGACCAAATAGGACCTTCAGCTTTCCAAAAGTCCAACAAGACATAAGACATATTCAAAACGGCGTCGTATCACTTCCACGCTGGCATACTTAACAGTGACTCAGCAAAGTAACGGTCCACGTGTGCTCCGTTAGTTGGGCCGTCAGATGCCAACTAATGGAAGGACGAACGTGGCCCTTTTTCTCAAATATTAGGGACTAAAATGAGCTTTTTTTATTGTTCGGTACTAAAATGTGCCTCGTGAAAATTGTCAGGGACGAAAAAGGGTATTTACTCTTAAATTATTTTATAAGTTATTGTTGAAAATGTTTCTTTGTGAGTATTGCAATTCAAAAGGTATACGTTGCTCTAACACTATTTAATTTTTTTCCCCGTATAGTTATTTCCCTCATTATGTGGAGATGATTATTTATCCTTCATAAAGGTACAATTCTCCGCTCAACTATGCTTTTATGTTTTGTATTTTTTTTAATATACTGTAAATTCTACATGATGAAACAACATTTTATAATATGATGTGAAAATTGTTGGAATTATATGCCATTAGCTGTAAAATTCTTCTATCCCTTATATATAATTGTTGGAATTGTTTGAAGAATTAATCTATTTGTAAAAGTGATATTGTACTGACTCATCATCCTTTTTTTTCGTTCATAGTTTTGACGCTAAAGTCGAAGTCACCACTCCTGAGAAGGAAAATGTATAACTGTTGCTGTTAAACAGTAAATGTGAAATATATTTTGTACTGATTACACAGTAAAGTGTATTTGGATTTATTTGGTGCCCAATGGACATTATGGACGCTGATTTTGGATTTTTTCATATCCATGTAACTTACTATCCTTTAATCGTCATGCTGATAGTGTACATTTCACCTACACATTGTCATGGATTGGTGCTGTCTTTATATATTAAGATTTGAGTTGGTCACTGATGAGAAAACATCCTTCAAATTCATCCTCTGCAATATAGTTGCCTGTTCAGAATCAGCCAATGGAATCCAATTTAATATATTTCTTTGGTACATAAAATCAATGCAGTCAAAGTATAAAGTGAAACGTTTTTCTTTTTCTAACTTTCTTTTCAGTATTCAATATAGTAGTTCGCAACGTAATTTGTTTTCGTCAGAAAGAATACAAACCAACATTTTTCAATGCAGGATTGCATCATTTCTATGCATTATCACATTCACCTGTTATAATATTCGTGCCGAAAAAAATTTTGAAATTCAAAAACCCCTCGTGCTAAATGATTAAAGGATTGGACACAGTCCCCAGGTCTTTTTATTGCAGACGCCATTTCTCAAGAAGGTGGATTCCTAATTTACGATAAATCTAAGTTAACCCCTTTAAAAGAGTGCAATTATTCTTTTGTCATTCTAAAATTCAACCAGATTACTATTGTCAAGATTTGTAAAATGCAAAATCTCAATTCTGATAGCGCTGATTCTTCTTCTCCAAAACGGATAAGGATGAATAATAAAGAACCACTGTAACACCCTTAATATGGTCACCAAAGGTGTAACATTGCTTGACATTCAATGCGCGGAATCCATGTACTTAAGCGTGGTTAACTTAAAATTTACTAATGGGAATTAATTTCGTTCTTTTTCCCTAACTTATCTATTCCTCTAGTCATGAGTTCCTCTTTTTCTTTGTCTATAGTCTACTTACAAATTAATCTCTACTTGGTTACCCTACTTATACTTATGCGTTATTTTAGGGGCTCACTTACATGATCATAATTTTAGTGTTGACTACTACCCAGTAGGTAGTTACTTAAGTGTCTTATGCGGATAGTGGCTTATGTTACTTAATCTTCCCAAAATATCGTACTTCAAAGGCATATAAGATGTTCAAAATAGTCTAAGTGGCATAGTCTATTACAGTCATCCAAATTAAAATCTTTAGTGCATCTTTAGTAAGGTGCACCCTCAATCCATAGGGATTCCATCTCCTGATCCATAATATAGTTTGTCAGATCCCGCTTTCCTTCAAATATTAGAGTAAAAACTCTATCTACAAGGGATGGTGTATTATCAACTTTATCTGCACGTGGTTGTGCAGGTTCCTCTTCAACTCGTACCAACCTCTTTCCCTGCCTTACCCATTTGGTCATTTTTACCTGAAAGTGGGTTTCCCCAGAGAGGGGTGAGATTGGGGGTCTCAGTAAGGACTCACAGTTGGAGCAACCTCCAAACCATGATGCTTACTCCTGCAATAGTCACATAATAACATGTACAATAATAGAATGGCAAAACATTGGAAACATAGTTTGGAAAATAATCATGCTTTCATATCATCATACCAATCCTGCCATGACAATTACTCTCCATGGTCTTATGGACGAATACCCAGGGTCCTCGTCAGGTTGCCTCTGTGGTATTAGTGCACAGGCCATCTTACAAAACTTGCATGAATAAACATTAGTTCCAAACAACCAAACATATCATGTAATGCATCATATAACATATTGCAGTCAAACCTCACTTTAACATAAAGGGGTGGCAACCATAGGGTAGCCGCTTTAACAACCATAAATCACTTACACTTTTTCGCTTTGTAAATTCTTCCCGTAGGTGATGGATTTGGCCAAATGAAGGTCCTAGTATCTTGGATCTCTTTTCAAGCTTTGGTTTGTCCTAGTCACATATTCAACCTTAGTACATGGTTCTAAAATTAAAAGATCTAAACTTTAATATTCTTCATGTCATAGGTTCGGCTCTCTAAAAATGCCTAGGAGATAATTTTTACTAATTGTTTTCATGCATAAGTCATATTCTATGGCATACATTTCGGCCACACATCATGGTATTAAGAAAACCTTCACATATTTCCCTTTTA